TCAGTGACCAGAGTGAGCTGTAAGAAGTCGTTCAAGCAATTGTATCAAATCTTGAATTCCGCTCTGTCTTTGCCGCCTGACGAGAACTCGACTATTACCGAAAGCTTAGTAGATGAACTTGCCGAGGATTACACTACCGTCTTGAACGATCTCCTAGATAAACGGCGCCCCTCCTGGCAAGCAATTCTTTCATGCCCTTAAAGTCAGCCGCCCAGGGCTGTCCCATTTCTTAGCTTGCAGCGTTGTGCGAAAGTATATTTCTAGGTATTCGAGAGTGATGAAAAAGTCATGATTTGATCTTTACTACTACAGCCGAGCAGTAGGTATGAGATGGGACTGCTTTCCTAAGGCCGAAGTCACGCCGCCCAACCATTCAGAAATTCCGCTCATTGTGTGGCCTGACCACTTCAATAGCATGCCATATGTTTTAATTTTAAGCCGCTCACCGCTCCGCCGATCGTCGCTTTGCCACTTATTGCGTGGCCTCAGCCTCAGGTACTCATAAAATTCTTTCGAGCAATTCACTTGAGCAATGACATAGGCTAGTCAGAAATCACGAAACGAGCACTGTCTTAGTGGAGTATCTAAGAGAGAGCTTTCTCTCATTCTCTTCACTAATTTAAGTAGTCCTATAGGCACATATTTTCATCCACTATTATTATGTAAGCACTTTTCTTCGACGGATGCGCTCCTTTGGAACTCCTTTTGGAGCCGTCCAGGAAGGCCTCCGTTATTTGGCTGGTTATTCTTTCCAAGAAAATTTCCTATTTTAAATAATTTAATAACTTTTGCACAACTGATTTAAAAGCATAATTACCAAGTTATTTATGCGCGTGAAAGGCATATGCGTGAAATTCCCAGTAATTAAATAATACTAATGACCAATTTGTTCAGCCGCGAGTTCAAAAAAGTTTGCACTGTTACAAATATTAATACACTCAAAATATAAAAACAAAAAATATATCTGCACTTAGTGTGAGTCAAAATATCAAATGCAATCTACAAAAAAAAAAGAAGAAATATACCCATAATTACCAACATCTAGCTGACCTCCACTTCGAGACTTGAGCAATTAAATGGCTGTTAACACGAAACTTTGTTTGCTGCTGCGTACAACCCATTAATACGTTTTGCTATTTTGGTAGCTCGAGAAATTGAAGTGGCAAAGAAAAAGCCAAAAAAATCAATACGCGGCTTGCGTGTATGGTAAAAGTCCGATTTTTATTATGAGAGAAAGAATTTTATCTTTGATATGATTTAATTTCTCGTATATGCTCCTCACTCAATATTAATGGCATTGGAAAGTTGAGCTTCAAAATAGTTATTCGAAAGCAAATGCATGGAAGGCAGTCTGCGGTCAATGAACAGCTAAGAGCTGCTTCAAATAATGGGTAGATGATGCAATTAGTCTTAGGCTAACTTGCTGCAATTAAAGAACGAGCCAAAAATTTTTAATGTGCTATTTACTATCAACAAACTTCAAATTATGAACATTTTTTTTTTTTTTAATTTCAAACCATTTCTAAAATTGGTAAACGCAACGCCTTTAATGTTTCTTTCGGCAACTCAATCGATCAAAATATGTATCAGTTAAATGCCGCTTTTATCCCTGGCTAGAATTTTTATAATATTCTGCATACATTACTCTGCAATCAACTCCATTTATATGGATTCGTAGTTGCTCAACAAGTAGATAAAGTCAGATTCAAAAGCGGTTCAAAAAAATTAGCGCCGACATGAACACATCTTCAGCTACAACTTCAATGACGTCAATTAGTCCCTACCACTGATGCACATATATATATAAGCACTATGTATGTATTATCATTTTGAAGCATACCTAATTTAATTACATGAAAAATCAATCAAGCGAAAATTTTTTGGTCGACACCAAGCAACAGGTCAATGGGCATTCCTTGAATCATCAAATAATATTTTTTCGGAGCGAGATTAAAATCAAAGTCTTCCGCCCGAGCTATTATCTGCAAACTATGCTATTCAGGGTACTTAAAAGCTTATGTAATTTTCTTCACGAAGTTCTTTTGAATTTTCTTCAAATGGCGCCGCACTGTGTTCCGTTTTGGAGAGAAGGGTCAAAGTAAAATATTTCGAGAACGCGAAGGGGTGGCGCAATAAATATAACTGTACTTTAACAAATTTCGAGATGGAGTGTTAAAAAAAAAATTTCTCGTAAGATAAAAGAATTTCCAGAAACTTTAAAATTACCTTCAAACATAGAAGACTTCCAACAGTTTAATTTTTTGTTTTACCTGCAATGAATTTTTAAAAGTTTTAAACATATAATTTTGGTATTCTTGCATAAAGAAATCAATTTCAGTAGGCGCAAAAAATAAAAAAAAACGCTTTTACATTTTTTTCGAGTTCATTTCAAGCTATTTTTATGTCAAAGAAGACAAGAAATTAAAAAATTTTACTTTTAAAGTTCATGTTTGAGGTCAAGTTAATTTTTCTTACAAAAGTACAATTTTAGATTTTTTGCCTTTTTTAACCTAAAAACAGCTCGTAATAAATAAAATGCGTAATTAAATGCGTTTTTTGGTTTTTGCGATTATGGAAATTGATTTCAAGAATAGCAAAAATATGTGTTTAAAACTTTTTAAAATGTTCACTGCATACTGGTTTCAGGCCAAAAAAAGAAAAAAAAAGAAAAGGTAATTCTTGCATCCAACGACACTATCTTTTATGAATTCTGCATCTCAAAAGCTTTAAAACGCCGGTAAATTTATTTCGCTATCTCTTCTCGTCTTACAGATTTTTGATTTTGTTCATTTTTCCTATATAGAGCACTGTGCGCCATTGTTTGAGATTGTTTATACAAATATATACACACATGCAGGCATAGGTATTTATAATCAAAAACTGTGCAATATTGTGCGTATGTATGTATGGAGGTATATGCATTCGATGACGCGTGTTCTAAATTTGAAAGCATTCTTGTGTGAAACTAAAGACTTAAGCTGCGAACGCAGCGGTATTATTAGTCTGTGATACATTGCTGAAGGTGTCTCAGTATAATCTTACACAGTTGAGTTGTTTATGTGGTGTGTTTATTCTTAAGAAAGCGAAAGTAGGAGAAAATCTTTAAAATTGATTATACTCGTATATATATCACTAATTTTTTAAAAGATGGGAGATGAAACCCAGGATAACACTGGATATACATAGCGGTTGCTAGCCGGTATTCTTTCGCGGTATACTAGTATGCTAGGACGCTCTTAAACAGAGGAGCAATTTTATTTTAATTTTATTTTAGCTGATTTACACGCCAAGCAGACCGAATACAGTATCACTATTCAATTGAACACCTTTAGTAGGTGGTAAAGTAAACTAGCGAGTAATAGATGACGTAAAAACCGCACCTGTAAAACTGTGAGAATGATGAAATGGGCAAAATTCATACCAAGATTTAATATAATTTTCAGTTAGGGTGACACGCGAACCGTGGGGCTCTATTTATTTCGGCAACTCAAACAATTTTAAAAACTTTATCAATTGAGTTAACTCGTTACATTTCAGTTAGTCGGTAATTTGCGACAATTCGATACGTATTGATAAGTTCGTTAAATTTCAAAATCTCTAAATTCCGATCGCTCGATACAATTTGATAACTCTTCGAATTTCAATAACAATCGATAAATTTAGATTACTTTGCTTTTCCAGAACTGGGTAAATTACGAAAGCTCAAAAATGTACATATCACGATGCTTATCGATAACTCGATACACTCTAGTAACTCTATAAATTCAATAAATCGATAAATGGTTTTAATTCGATTAATTCACGTAATTGGAGAAATTTAGATAACCCGATATACTTTGAGAATTCCAAAAACTTCGATTTCATAAACCGAGGAGTGTCTATAACTACTAAAAAATTTCGATAAATCAATAAATATCGATAAATCGTTAATTTGAAAGAGCTCGATACATCACAACAAGTCGATACATTTCATTTGCTCTATAAACTTCGATAGCTGTACACTTCGGTCACTCGATAAATATTGATTATTCAATTAATAATATATAAAATAAAATTTTATTAACTTGATAAATTTCAATAATCCGATAAATTTGTATAACTCGATAACTATCGGTACATTTCGACAACAAAGTTTCTGCGTCTCGATAAATTTCCAGTACCAATAACTCGATGAATTCCGATAACATAATTAACATGAATGACCAGATAAATTTCGATAACTATAAACTTAGGTGATAAGAAACTTGATAACTTTCGATAACTAAATTCCGATGGCTGGATATATTTCGGTTCTTATCGAAAAATTTCAATAAATTTTCTTATCCTTTCAGTTTTTCTAATTATTATTTATGTTATGTATTCTCTTTGTTTTCATTTTCGTGTTTTACTTCGATTTTGCCTTCATCATTTCTTTCTTCATCTTCACATAAAACAAAACAAAATGCGAAAACTACTCAAATTGAAAAAGAACAACTGGTGCCATATACAGAAAAAAAAACCTTTCCAAGGGTGTTCTTGGTTTTGAAGTCGGGTTGGTATAATCGCCAGAAACACACAAAATTTTGTTAGCGTATTAATATATAGCTTAATAATATACACATGTAGATAAATATAAATGCATGCTCAAGAAGAGCAGCACACCCTAATAATTCTCCACTCCATTATAAGGAAGTTTATGCATATCGAAATTCCAGTCCATATACCCGCCCTTTGGATAGTAAGTATGCAGCACCTAATGATCATAACCATATACTTTATCTCAGTTCATTATAATTTCGTCGAATAAATTTCCACATATGTATGTAAGTACGTGTGTGCTTAACTACATTACCATAAGCCAGAAATCGGCTCAATTTTCTAATACCTTATAATTTATTACAATTTTCCCCCAAATTGCAGCACGAATTTCTATACCAATTATCTCGAAGGCAGAAAAAAAAAAACACAAAAAAGCAACAAAGAATGCATACGTTATTATTCTAATCTATGCAACAACTTACCAGCAACATCCAATTTGTGCACCGCATCGTTTGCTCCAGCCACCGCCACTGCTGCTGCTGCAGCTGACGTCTCTATCGTCGCAGTCGCTGTGGTCGTTAAGAATTGAGCATCGTCGTCGTCGTGGTCGTCATCATCATCGTCGTCGCCGTCGTCGTTGTCTCGTAGTGCAACTGTTGCTTTTGTGGTTGTAGTAGCTGTTGGCGCAGCTGGCGAAGCAGACGACGCAGAAGTCGTTGAACTATCACTCAACAATACAGCACTGCTAGTGGACTCCTCCACTGCATCAATGGCCGCCGTTTTTATGCCAGTTTCGGCTGCATGTTGGTGGAATGATGATGCATTCAAAGCTGACGCAGCTTCAGTCTTTGCTGTTGTCGTTTCTAAATTTTCAGCAGGCAACGTAGTAGGCGCAGCATCACTACCAGCCACAATTGTTGTCTGCACATGCACATTTGCATCATTGCTCTGCAATTGCTCCTGAGCTTTAACCATTTGTATGCTACACAAAAGTAATCCACAAATAGCGGCGATGAGAAATAGACGCGAAATCGCGTTGCTTTTTGTTGGCATTGCTGGCATAGTCGAGTATTTTCTTCGTTTGCCGTATTGAGCGTACATTGCGGAGTTTTGCGAAATTTGTTTCGTTTTATTGTGCTTTTTTTTGCAAATTTATTTTTTTTTTGGTATAAATTTTTTATGCAATTTTTTTTTTTTGCTTTTTTTTCGTGCACTGCAACTTTGTGTGCGCTAATTTAATTCGTACAAGTGCTTTGCGCTTTGTTGATTTTCTCACTGTATTGGTTGATTTTCCAATTGCACTTCCCTATTTCGTCAGCGGTACTAGGCTTCTTATGATTTTATTGTGCTTTACTTTTCCACCTTTCGTTGGAGTGGCAGTTTCGCGAACAAAATTTTTGTATAAATTTTTTACGATTTTTGGCTATTATTCGACCACAAATTGACGGCTTCGTTGTTGGCTTTACTGGGAACGTTGATAACTTATTTCACTTTACGTGATGTTGCTTATGGAAAAATAACCGTTATTTCTCCCTATTTTTTTTCGGAGGGGTCGCGCAATTAAGGTCACTTGGTATGTATTTTGTGGCTTTTGTTTAACACGATCTTTAACAAAAAAAAATGAGTTTTCTAATTTCACAATCACATTTTCATTCTAATAGAATAAACTGTAAGGAAAAGGAGATATTTAGTGCTTACTTTATACATACATATAAATTCTAATTTTTTTGCACTCTTTTTAAGATTATTTGTCTTTTCCATGCACTTTTATGCACAACTTTTGCTTAAAATCAGTATCCACTTGCCCACAGAGGTGCACGAATTCTCACAGAATGAGTTGCTCGCTTAAGTCTTTTGTTTCTAGTGCAGTTTTTTTTTGTTTTGTTGTGATAAATTGGTGCCGCATTCGATTTGCCGCCAATTAAAGATAAAACGCATTAATATTTCACTTCCAAATTTGCTTAAGTGCCCACACTCGTACAAGCAATCAACCAACCGCTAAGATTTTTATGAGTTTATAAGCAGTGTTTTGGCAGCTAAGACAATCAGCGTGAAATTTTCTCTAATGATTTTATAGAGTAGTAACTGAAAGAAGGTTTAAGAAATTACAATATTTATAAAAAAAGGCTATCGCTATATGATGAGTTTACGACGGTATAGCTGCTCAGTTAAATGAGGTAAAAAATTATGCTGAAAAGTTTTTGCAGAAAATTGTATGAATATCATATTTGTGTTTGATTCTAAAAAAATTACCAACACATGCTACATGCGCGCAAAAATTATAAAGAAACTGCTGTATATGTATATGTATACGAAATGCGCAAGAAAAGTTAGTCATACTAAAAACCGGTCTTCGCTAGGGCACACCAAATGGCAAAGTTAGAAAATATTTTTTTCTCTGCTGCCTGCAGAATCAGACAGAATTTTTTTTAAGCACAATGAGCGGTGATGAGAACCAGCGAAGGCTTTGTTATTTGATGTTTTTTTTTTTGCTTTGAAGTTAGTAATGTATCTTAAAAGATAAAATTTTTTGCAGATTTTGTAAGCTTATTTTTGCTTTTCGAGTTCTTGCAATTGCAAGCACCAAGAAATTGCTTTGCGCTGCTTAAAAAATTTCAATTCAAAAGAGGTCAACGCTTGAAATATCAGATTAGTTACCGCAATCAAAGGTATTTGTATGATGCACATTCAAATGATAGGACTAAGAAATTAAATTTTGTGTTTCGTTTTAAGTTGTTTTAGTCTTGGAATCAATATTATTTTAATTAGCAAGGGATACAAAAACCTTCAAACATATAGAAACCTTCAACTAAATAGTTTACTTTTTCTACGTTTAGGACTTCATTCAACTAAACTTCAGACCAGAGATGAAAGTATATTAGATAAATTATTGTTCCCTCACCCCACAGGATCTGGGTACGACCCCTGGTCCGAACAACATCTAACTTAGAAAACAGTTTTTCCTAAGATCTGAAGCTTTGAGGGGAAGGAATAGTAATCCAGCCTCCACCAGCTGTAATAGCCCCTTATTATATTTATTATTTAGATGATACAACAACCAAATTTGGTCTTCTCAAATATACTGGAACAGAAAAGTTGCGGATCCTTACCAATGAAAGGATAACAGTAGGATGGAATTTTTACAGGCTTTCTTGCATTTTTTTTTAGAGTGACGTGGCCGTTGTAAAACCTCAGGGTGATTTGCTTTGAACAGTGCAGGATTTAGTGCGAGGAACATAGATTTATTTGACAATTTTTAGCCCTATCATAGCGAGTCCAATACGAATTCCTACAAGGTGGCGCTGCCGGAATAGCTGAGGTTTTTGCTGAGGTGCTTCTAAAGGTCAAAATGATGTGTTTGCTATGCATTTGTGGAGTTTCTCGCTGTGATTTTGCGCATAATTTGTAATTGTAATTTTTGTTTTTGCTCCACCGATACCACCTTGTTTGTATAAATTCAAACTGGTCTAGACTTTGATTCCTAGGAATACCGTTACTAAAAGGAAGGCACCTGAATTGCACTCCGCCAAGGGATGGGAGATTTTATCCTTCTCTAATTAACAATACAATCTAATCTAGACTTCGAATATAGAAAAAGTCATATATAAAACAAGTAAGAAGTCTAAAGCCGAACATTAAATACCCGGCGCAAGTATTAAATATATGTTTTTCACCTTTCCGAAACCTACCGCTAGATGGTAAGCCGGGGTGTATCAATTTTGAGTAAATTAGCGTCCTTCAATTTCGAAATATTCAAGTTTCAAGCATTTCTGAAATTTACCGTTATTTGAAAAGCGGCCGTAATTTTAGTCCGATTTCAATAATTTTCAGCTCTTTGCTTTCATGTGGCAAGCACAATAACCACACCGAGTTTGGTACAAATTGGTAGAACGGTTACCGATATACTTATATGAGATCGTAAGTAGGCGGTGCCCCGCCCATTTTCCAAAGTTTTATCATAATCGTATTTCTTGGTAAAGAATTGTTGCAAGCATCAATTTTGAATAAATTAGCTTCAATATTTACTGATTTATCGAAGATTTTGTATTTCTCTAAATTACCGTTATATGGGATGTGGGCGTGGTTATTGTCCGATTTTAAAAAGTTTCGGCGATTTTTTATGCTGTGCCAAGGCCAACAACTGTGCCAAGTTTGGAAGAAATTGGTGCGGCGGTTACCAAGATATACACATGTAACCATAAGTGGGCGTGGCTACGACCATTTTCCAAAAATTTATAATATTCTTATTTTTCGTCTAAAACTTATTATAAGTATCAATGTTGAGGGAATCATCTCCAGTAGTTACTAAAATATCGCAGTTTTCGTATTTCTGAAAATTAGCGTTATATGGGAAGTAGGCGTGGTTATTGAGCGATTTTAAAAATTTTCCGCCATTTGATATGTAACTGTGCCAAGTTTGGAAGAAATTGGTGCAGCGGTTACCAAGATATACACATGTAACCATAAGTGGGCGTGGCTACGCCCATTTTCCAAAAATTTATAATATTCTTATTTTTCGTCTCAAAATTATTGTAAATATCAATTTTGAGTGAATTATCTTCAGTAGTTACTAAAATATCGCAGTTTTCGTATTTCTGGAAATTACCGTTATATGGGAAGTGGGCGTGGTTAAAGTCCGATTTCGCCCATTTTCAATACCAACCTACCTTGGATTAAGGGAAACCTACATACCAAATTTCGTTGAGATATCTCAATTTTTGCTCGAGTTATGGCATGGCTTAATCAATTTCTGTTTTCATCCTGATCATTTATGTATGTATTTGTCTATATCTATCTAGATTCGTTTTGGCTGTTACAAACAACCGTTAAGTGAACAAAATTAATGTACCCTTGTGCACAAGTGCGCTCGGGTATAAAAATGTTACGATTAATTTAAGTCGATTAAAAACAAAAAAGTCCCATACTGATCTTATAAAAAATTCTGATATCCCAGTAAAGTTAGACATTTAAGGTTACAATAATACGCATAGAACGGAAAGTTTGGACGAATGTTAGGAACACGCATGTAAATGAAATGTGAAAAGTTTCCATCGATGCCAGGTCTGCAAAATAAAAATTTATTCAAAGTCACATATTAAATATATGGGGTTTTTTGCACTTTTCAGCCACAGTAAGCAACGGTAACGTTTATCGTGAAAATAGGTTAGACTAAAATGAAAATCATGCTACCTTCTATACAAATTGTGCCAACACTTTTATTTCTAAGAATCCCAACTTCTGAGCTGTAGCAATTCAAAAAGTTGTGTTCTCCATAACGTGCACACATTTCCACGCTACCTGTTAGGCACTTTACTGTTTTTAAAGTGGTTTCCTCGTTAGGGCACCCGCTGATTGAGCGCTGAAAGCAGAGCTGAGCGGCTCCGCACACCACAGAGTGCACGCGAGAATCAGCTTAGTTTAATTTTTTTTAATATTAAAAATATTTTGCATAAAGTTCTGTAGGAAATATTTATTTAAGGAGCAAGTGTCAGTAATTCAACCAATAAATCAAAGACGAAGTGTATATCATCAACTATATGAAGAGTTCCGCTTGAAAATTGAAACTTTTGATTATATTCCGAAAAGGTTTCAATGAATATTAGCAAAACAAAAATTGAAATTTCTTTATTCGATTATGATAGCTTATATTTTTTTGCGAGAAAACACTTCACTTAATAAAATATCCATATCCCTAACTTTGATTAAAATCACTGGCAACCACCTCTCAAGATAATCGGCTGAATAATAGTTTAAAACTGGTTTTATCGCATCTGTACGCTCTGCGGTATCAGCGCGATATTTTATGAAACTGTATGCATGTTATAGAGCTTATTTCTCGTATTCAGCATCTTGATTCTCGGCTCGGATTTCAGCTTTCACTCTATGCGGGTGCCCTTATGCCTATTACATGACTTATTTATGGTTCTGTTTAACTAAATAACATTGCATGAAATAAAAACAGTAACATTGTAGGTGATGGAATCCATGTGAATTATGAGCAATTTTAGAAAACTATTAGTCTTATTGATAATTACTTTTATGTAAAACTTTCCACTAATCCGAACATGAAGTAAAAATATAAGAAAGTAGAACATTTCGGCTTAATTGAAATCTTTTTTTTCGATATAGCTGGCGAATCTTAAATTCCTTTTTAAACCAGTGAAGCTTATTAAATTTGCTATCATCTGTGTCAAAGATATTGTTCAACCGGATTTGTAGTTACCAGGTATTCATTGATTAGTCGATAATTTTGCATAATTTAAGAAAAGGTTCCAGTATTGAATATTTTTCGAGCGCAAAGCGACGGGAAAACCAAACACAAATTTATGAATTTCACTAATAAGTGTGTAATTACAATTTTGTACTGAACTTTTGAATTGCTGTTATAAACCTTACCGTTTGACTGAATAGTGCAAAAAAACCCATATTTGTCACGATGGAGATTCTCTCGTTTCATTTATAATGCTGTAACCAACGTTCGAACCAATTTTTACAATTTTTAAACCCATAGAAATAATTTATTATTACTTTTTTTATTGACGGCTTGAGGCCGTTTATAATGAAAAAATTGTGTGGAAAACAAAAGTAGAGTTTCTAAAAATTACTGCTGGAGATAAAAAAATTTTAAAATGTGTTTAGCTTAAACGATATTCCTCGGTTGCCACCGAACAGAGGCATTTGTAAATAAATAAAGTAAAATAAAATAACTACTGTTAATTGACTTTTTACAGGGGCAAAATTGTTTCAAATCGTTCGACACATTCTTCAAGCTGATGTCATTTTACTGCAAGCATAACTTATTTTGGTTTTATAACTATTTTTTATTAGTTTTTATTGCTCTCTTTTTGCTGTAAATTTTAATAACTTTGACGGCTTTTAATCTTATTTTTTTATTATATTTTAATTACGTTTTCGAGTTCACATTTTCGGTGACTTTAAACTTTTTTAACCTTTTAATTTGTTTTTTATTTCATTTCAACTTATACTCGAGTTAATTCTTTTTCTTTTTACTGTTTGTTGTTATTGTTGGCATTTGCTACTTTTCAATTGCCCGCCATGTAAATGAGTTGGCAGCGGTAACCTGTAGCCTGACTTGTGCTGAGCAAAGCAGAAACAGAAGCAGAAGTAACAAGAAATAGATATGCAGACTCAGGCGCGTTCAAGAACTTGTTTGGCCACAACTCGTTAAAGGCTATGAAAGTTCGTCTGTGTACGAGTTGTGGTTGATTGAGTTTTGTTGGTTTGTTTCAATTTGTGTTTCATCTTTATTGGCGCTGTTGCGAACAGAAGGCAGAGTGATGGTATTTCTTGTATTGTACTTATTTCTAATTCGAAGTATTTGAATAACTTTGCAAGCAAAATGGTTTTGCTTACACAACTTTTTCGATATTTGGTAAATGTTTTTTGATATTTTTTATGAATACTGTTAATTTCCTTTTTTGAATTAATTATTTTGTCTTAATTTGTTATTTTTTTATTTTATTTTATTTTATTTTATTTTATTTTATTTTATTTTATTT